TTAGTTCGGCTCGATTTGAAAAGTGAAATAGCCATAGCATCTTTGTAGACGATCAGATTAGCCTACTTTTGTGCTATATAACGTAATTTTTTCTTTGCTTTTATCCATTTGATCATCCAAACCGACAGGGTTGGGTTGATTTTTTGGATTTAAATCAACTTGATTTTTAAAATAAAAATCAGTGATTTAAATCACTTTTTTTTTAAATTATTTTTTTTCAGTTTTTACATATTTCAACATTCAGAATTCCTTTCCTTGGTTTCATAAAACAGAAGGTTTAGTAGACTATAATCATGCTTAAAAGTCTGCTTTCCACCCTTTCACTGTAAAATAATACAGTGTTCAATTGACTTTTTTTTCCATAATTGAATTCAGAGCTGGGTTGGTTTTTTTAAATTTTAATCAACTTGATTTTTAAAATAAAAATCAGTGATTTAAATCACTTTTTAAAAAATGTATTTAGTTTTTACATATTTAAACATTCAGAATTCCTTTCCTTGGTTTTATTAAACAGATATAAGGTTTAGTAGAAGACTAATACAATCATGCTTAAAAGCCTGCTTTCCCCCCTGTCACTGTAAAATTTATTGTAATACAGTTCTCAATTTACTTTTTTCTTCATAATTGAAAACCAGGGTTGGGTTGATTTAAGTCAGGTCGATTTAAATCAGTTGATTTTTTAAAAATTTAATCAGCTTGATTTTAAAAATAAAACTCAGTGATTTAAATCACTTTAAAAAAATGTATTCTGTTTAAAACATCTTTAAACATTCAGAAATCCTTTCCTTGGTTTTATAAAACAGATATAAGGTTTATTAGACTAAAATAATCATGCTTAAAAATCTGTTTTCCCCCCTGTCACTGTAAGTAGTAAAATAATACAGCATTCAATTTACCCCAACCACCCAAACAGGAATTTAGTAGAAACATGGAAACCAAAGAAACGACTTCAACAAAAATCAGTCATGCATCGCATCACAGAACTAATCATTAATGGAGAGCCACCACCTACCAGAAAACAGAAGAGAAACCAAAAGAGTCAACCAAAACATCCCTCCCCACATTTCTATGGAAAAACCAATCATTAAAACTTCTCTCAGTAGCACAAAATCTTCAGACCCAGTGAAGTTGATGCTTTCTTCACACCAAACAATCGACAGCTATTCAGATGACTGGATACACGTCTAT